ATTTTCTCCAAAACTATAAAAATCCATATAACTGTATATTCATATTAAAATTTAATGTTGAAATTTAATAATTTAAAAAACATAAGGGTTTAGAATAAACACACAAACATACATAAAATCATTCAGACATTTGAGGCAGTAAGATTTTGTATATTTTTTTAAAGAAGGTTTTTATGATCACCAATATTATTGCCGTTTCTTTTTTTTTCATATTCTTATGTTTATCTTTTATTTATTTCAAAGCTGAATTTTCGGCAACCATTACTCCAGTTTTCAGTGTCATATGACAATTAAGAAATCATTTATAATATGCTTATTTTGTGCTCAAGAAACATAAAGTGTGTGTGTGTGTGTGTGTGTGTGTGTGTGTGTGCGCGTTTTTGTGACAAATGAGGACTATAAACTCAAGAAACATAAAGTGTGTGTGTGTGTGTGTGTGTGTGTGTGTGTGCGCGTTTTTGTGACAAATGAGGACTATAAATTTGTATAATGACAAGGGTATGACATGTTATTACAAGGAGAAGGTGACTTTTCAGGACATTACCCCATGTCTCCAAGAGCGGAAAGAACGCTTTCTCTCCACTGGTTGCCACACAGTCTGATGGATTCAAGCTGGGTAAATCCAGAAACACCACAGACACATGTGTCTCTACATTTATGACCCATCACTAATGCACCTGCAGCCAAGAGACAGGCTTAGTGTGACATATCATAGACACGTCAGAAACCCTAAGAGAAGCCACAGGAGAATTTTTCAAAATCTTTTTCTATTTTTCGTTGTTTGTCTCTCTCTGTCTCTTTCCTACAAACTGCCACATCTTTCCGAATAGTGTGTTTGTTTATCAGGTCACAATGCTGCTATTGGGCAAACAAAATATAAATGCTCTTAAAACGTTCTCGCACTTTTGTTCACAACATAAATTACACTGTTGCGCTCACTTTTTCTTCATCAGTCCGAATGGTTTGAGGTCAGTACGTTACACAGCTATGTGGAGAAATGTTGCTAATTGAGTGAAAAGCACATCTCTGGGGGGCCAAACGCAGCGTTCAGGTATATTTACAATCAAGTTCTCTGTTAAATCACGTCAACTCTCTGGAGATTTGGAGACAGTTCATGGTGAAATATGCATGAGAACAGCAGCATTAGCGGAAAAGGGCTTTTGCTTTTGCTGTCTTCCTTTCACACATTTTGATGAGGGCATGGTTGTACTTGTCAGATGAATTGTTTGAGTGGCACGTCTTGTTTCAGAAGGGTTCTAAAAGGGACGAGGGAGTGGGAAAGAAATTCACCAGTCTGCATTCTCTTGCTGTCTTTGTTTTTATAGAAGTCTTTTTTTCATGCTTTGTGTTTTATTCAGAGAATATACAGAATGTGTTTATGGCTCAATGACATGAGGGTCATTTATATACAGTATAATCAATTTATTCAAAAATACAATAAAAATGCAATTCATTTATAGTGTGCCTTGAATTCATCTTTTAATGTAAAATGATTTTGGCGGGATATAAGGCCAATAATGTCCTAATGTAATATTTAAGAAAAAAGCTTAATTAAAATAATGTAATTATGTTAGAAAACATTTTTAGAAGATATTTAGCAGAATGTCCAAGCTGCTTCCTTTCACTTTTACTTTAGCTGGGCCATTTTAGCAAAATTTCGTGTTACAAAGAAGGAAGGCAGACAAACAGGTTTTAAAAGACTTGAGGCTGAGTAAATGATGAAAGACTTTAACTATTTAACTATGCCTTTAAAAATTGAGAGAATCAATGGTTAGTGTGGTTGTGTGTTCTCATAGCAAAGCTAATGTCTTTTGCCCCAAAATGTAATCTCGTTTTAGGAGATCCATCAGCTTCTCTCACTCTCTTTCTCTCTCTCAACAAAGTTAAAAAAAAAGAAGGAAACCGTGAACAGAGGTAGTATCGATCGAGCTGAGAGAGAGGTCAGAGGTGAATGAAATGTTGATTTGACACCTGGTCGTTGCTCCCTCCCTTTCTGTCTGGAGGGGGGAATGAAGGGTAAATCAAAACAGTGGGAGGCTGAGATCTCTCACAACCATTTAATGTTGGAGTGGGTTGAACCTTCCCTTCCCTTCCCTTTCCCCTCAAGCGAATAGCATTCCCTGTACTGTACCAGCCACCGAAGTGTGTTTTTACTAGAGGAGAGGAAGGGAGGGGGGCTTAAATTGATTGCTGGTTAAGTTGATAGACAATTGGACAAACTACTTGCAACATAAAGAAACAAACTAATGTGAATGATTGGCCATGGCAGTGCAAAATGTCATCCTGTTGTATTTATCATACAGTCTTGTGCTTGTAATGTAACTCCAATACTCCAGGGGGTGATAAAGTTATCTTCAAATGTCTGTTCCATTAAACCAGATTTGTTGTTATTCTAGTATGTAACTATATTGACGATTTCACTTACTTGCTCAGCAACTGATGTGCTGTCTTGGCAATAGTTGTCGTGAAAGTGACAGCTGACAGTAGAAGACCATTTATGCTATTGCTTGCTGTGGACCTCATACGCTACTGTATATTTAATCTGATGCAAATAAAAATGAGGATGTGAGGATAAGTACACGTTTTCAGTTTTCAGTCAAGTTTTTAGATTTTATGGTTCACTGGGATGTTTTTTTAGAAAAATGGCTTTTCGATGTATTGTTGGTTGATTGATTGACACAAAATTATACAGCCTTATATCACATTGAACTGACTGTACAGATTTATTGAACTAAAATTGGCTTCTACCCTGACTAAGGTCCATAGCACCCCTTGTGGCGATGCTACGAATGCAGCAAGTACTTACAAAATGCATTCTGACATGTCAAAAAGTAACAGGATATTAGTTGAATTTGCATACTTGCTTCATGTATTTACACAAAGTACATTTTGAGACTAAAACAGATAGGCTAATACAATATCATAAACATGCTAATGTTTACTGGACAGAGCTTAATGGGTAAACAAATGAAAAATGGATGTAACGGAACAAATAAACCCATAAACCCAGCAAAACAAATAAAAAAGAAATAGTACTGATCTCTGTTTTTCTGCTCAGAGGCAGGGTTATGTACTCGGACCTTTGTTTTTCTCATCTGAGATGCGTATCCTGAGGTGTGGTTGGGATTAAGTTTGCGTGTGCAGTTTTTCTAACCCTGTTAGGGCTGCATTAAGGAGTGAGTAATCTCTTCACACGCAAGTCCTCGCTCTCTTTCATTAGCCAGCAGTGCTGCCCGGATCTATAGCACTCTGCTGCTCCATATGAAACCCAGACCTGTCCAATCAATATGCCCCAAGGCCGCAGTGAGGGCAGAGGCTGAGGAGGATGAATCCTAATTTGATGAAATACGCATTTCGGATCGCTCCGGATGCTTGCAGGCCTGGGGTAATTGTCAACAAATTCATCTTTAAGGCCAGGATTGCTTTCAATTAGGGATGGACCTTCTGTTTAGCTGTTTGTGGACCGCTGCTCACCTCTCACCAAGTCTGAGAGAGAAGAAACACTCACACACTCGCACTCTGGCAATATAGAGTCTCATCAGGATGTGGTTATTGCTCTGAAAGGTGCATTTATGATTTGGCAGGCTTTAACTGTGAGCAAAGCCAAAGTGGTGCTTCTAACCGTACTAGAGAGTTTAATGGACTCTTAAAATATCCTTGTCTTGTTTGCTTGTCTCATTTTGTCTGCTCAAGTAAAATTGCCTGTGCTTACTTAAGTTTTATTGTATATACGATGACAAGGGTCTCTACTGTGTGACATTGATCACTGATAGTTCCACACAGTGTTGGGAAAGCTGCTTTCAAACTGTAATATGCTGTAATGCTAATTGTTGCATAAAATACAAAAAAAAAAAATAGTTAGTTAGTAGCGTTGCCTTTAAAGTGTTCAACTCTGGTGAATTTGGAAGCAACAGTTTTTTAATTTTTGATTACTGTTGTGCAGCATCTGTACCTTAAAGTTAACATGTAATGCTGGGCTAGATCATGTAACAGTCCAGTTTCTTGGAGCCAAAAAAAAGACATAGAGGCCATGAATTAAGAATTTGTTCAGTAACACTTTATTTTGATAGTACACTTTAGACATTCTATTAACAGTAAGTAACTTTGCAACTACATGTCAACTAGCAGTTAGTAGAGTATTAGTAGACTGTCTGCTTAATATCTTCTAACACTTTTCTTTGTCAACATTGTACTAACCCTAAACCTACCCTAACAGTCTACTCTGAGAATTAGTTGACATGTAGTTGACATGTAGTTACAAAGTTACTTATAGTTAATAGAATGTCTAAAGTGGACTACCGAAATAAAGTGTAACCATTTGTTCTCATGACTTATTAATCTGTTCCTTTATTTTAGTTGAATCGTGGCCACATTTAACTAAATCGTTCCATTGTCTATGATTTAACAAAACTAAAATGAGGAAATGAATTGGCAGAATGTGGTCAAATTTTAGAGAAATTAAAACAAGGCAACAAATTATTAAAATGTGCCAACGATACCGGAATGAATTAATACAGTCTGACCATGATTTGACTAAAACAAGGGAACAAATTGATCTAATTAATCAAATCTTTATAGAAATCTGAGGTTCCATCTGATGTTGTGAAGAAAAAAAATTACAGATTTATTAGCAAAAATTTACTGGGCCACAGCAGAATTGTATTGGGTCTCCAGTGAAAAGAATCTTGCGATGCCACTTCTACTTCTATAAACTGTTTCCATATTTGTCTCTATTGAGTGCTTGTAAACTTCTCAGTAGAATTAAAAATACATAAAAATTATGTCTGCTACAGTCTGGGTGTTTCAAAGGTCTTGGATTAAAGTGTGACTACTTTTATGAAGCTTTTCCGTTTTCGTGAGACAGACAGATAGGTGGTCGTCTCAGGATGGCTCTAGCGTGTTTTGACTGGCATTTATGAAGAATAAAGTGAGTCTGGGAGAGGTTCAGCTTCTGTTTGCAGTGTGATGATCCATTGATTTGCTGTCTTTCTCTTCTGCAGGGACGTACGGACCAGATACAGGGTGGGCGGCAGCTTTTCCTGAGTGTCAGGAGAGAAACCAATCACCGGTCAATATAGCCGACCAAGACACTAAGGTCTCGATGGAGTACCAGGAACTCACGCTGGACGGGTTTGATGCAGAGTCATCCAACAAGACATCAATGAAGAATACAGGCAAAACCGGTAAATACACACTGTCTTTTGGGGATAGTTCAACATAAAAAAAAAGTACATCGATCCATCATGTCATCAAACATAAGGACATATATCAGAATGTCCTGGCTGTTACATAAAAGTGAATGGGGTTTAAATTGGGCCATACAATTAGCCAAAAATCCTCTAAAGCCATGTAATAGCATTGTTTAAAGACAAGTATTTAAGTGCCTATTTCTAATTTTATGATTTTTTAAAATATTTTTTATACATTTTTTAGAAAGTTTTTATTAGAGACTGTAAAGGGTGACTGAACATTTTTGGAAGGGAGAGGAAATGGATTCAGGATTTGTTACAGGCAGGATTCGAACCTGTCCCATGTGACCACCAGTGCTCAATGTGACAGTAATGCATGCCAGTGGCAGCATCATGCCTTTGACCACTACAAATTATAGGTTACATTGAGTGGAAGTGTTCAGCTGTCATACTTTCAAGCTCTATCAAACTTTTATGGTGTAATCTCCCCCCACCTGAACTTTTCACACCCAAATTCAGTTTTCATGCTACAGTCTTGCACCATTAAGCCGTACTTCAGCAGAGCATATTGAGGAAGTAAACACACACACGAATTGCCCAGCGTTTCCCTCCTTAACATAATCCGTGCAGAGGAAGACAAATGTCCCGCTGTTGTCCCATGAATAATGGAGAGCTGCTCTGCTATTTATAACTGACACATGAGTGTTTTATCAGCGAAATAATCACCTGGAACAGGGCGGCACAATAAACCTACAGACCTGGCACCTCTGAATAATGCATGACTCAATCAATGTTTTAAATAATTTTCTCTATAGATGACTACAACGTCAAGTGACCCTTGACCTTCTCACCTTGAGCGAAACACTCATTAGAGATGTCCGGAAAAGGAAATAGTTTGAAAAAGAAGGAAGTTGGAATACTAGCGTACTTTCTCACTAGATACTTTGTAGAATATAGTGTACACCAGTGTACAATGCTCTTCCAAACATAGAGGTGTTTTTTCGAGTGAGCGAGCGAGTGTGTTGTTGGACTGCCCAGTGCACAAGCTTCTCACAGACCCCCGCCAAATTAAACTTAAGAAATGCATGAGATCTTGGAACCTTGAAGAAACATTTGCATTGATCAAGGATTTGCTGGAAGGCGAGGCCTAGTTTTCACATGTTGCCGTTCCAAAGTCCTGCTGGCTTAGCCGTCTAATTCCTGCCTGTTTGTTAAAGCTCATGAAGCTCAGAGCTGGAATAACTCATGAAACCAATGCTCCCTCTCATGTCGGATTACGTCAAAGAAATCAACAAAAGACCAAACAACTTAAAGAGGAGTCAAGAGAAGTACAGAGAGCGTCATTGTTTTTTCCCAGGCTTGAGAGTGTGCTTTTGTGCGAAAGTGTGTCCTGCCGTCTTACTTTTGCCCCTGGCACCTCCGAGTCACTTCACGTTGCTGTGGTGACAGATTCAGACTGCCACCAGTTGATTGCTTCAATATCTCAGCGGTTGGACACTAGCCTGTTTCGGTAAGATTACAAGCGAGGTTTCAGAGGAGCTGTTCTTTTAAATAGGACACAAATCTCTTGTGGCAAGCGGCAAGTTAAAAAAAAATCACTCTGAAATTCAATCAGAAAAGGAAATCTGTCCAACAAAGGCTGTGCTATTTAAGGTCGCACTCATTAATTAAAGTCCGGTCCTGGTGCGAAAGACCAATTTGTGAATCTAAATGCTCTTGGATGGAAGAGCTTTCACTATGGGTTGCCTCTTTTTTTATGGCTCGGGTTTTATGGAATAACAAAAGGAATCAAAAAAAGCAATTTGAAACGGTGTGAGGGGGAAATGTCTTCTCTCAGCCAAATTACTGCTTCATTTGAGACCTGGCCTTCTGAGGACAACAGCAACAGCAGAAAGAAAGTACGTGTAATATTCAGCCTATGTCCCTGAGGAAGCTAAATGAATAATCATAAATACTGAAATGAAGTGTCCTCCAGTCATTTTCCTTTATTTTCAGTCATAATGCATTGGTCCTTGGAAGGCATTTGGTTAATGTGCATGCCAAGAAAGTGGTCTTTATCTCACGGTTTCTCCCTATTTAACCCTCCTTCCTTTTTCTCTGCACCTCACAGTGGCGATCTTCTTGAAGGACGATTATTTTGTGAGAGGAGCTGGGCTACCAGGCCGCTTCAAAGCCGAGAAGGTGGAGTTCCACTGGGGCCAGAGCAATGGTTCCGACGGCTCCGAGCACAGCATCAATGGCAGGAGATTCCCTGTGGAGGTAAACCCCAACTAATCTCTCTCCAATGTCTGTTCCTATCTAAACAACCCAGCTCTGCAAACTCCCAATTCTGGCCTACTTGCTTTATTTTGCGGGCTATGCTACTTTGCAATTACACTCTTACTTGGGACTTTGTCTCAAGAACATTGAAGCAATGTTTTAACAACACTATACATTTCAAATGGCCCAAGATTTGTGGTGCTTCGAGGGTATGTTGCCTTTGGAGTTGTCTACAATAAAATGTATAAGAGAGTCTACAGTAGTTTAAAAAGAATCTAATTTCATGGTTCTAAAACACCATGTGGCATAACCAACAAAAAGTAAAAACATCTTTTCCTTATACCTTGAGTACATGCACGTCTTAAATGCACAGTAAATATATGTCAAATATACTGTATGTTAATAGATAAATATATTTTTCAAGGTAAAAGATATTTTGAATCACACGACATGGTATTTTACCATCTTTGTCATAAAAGGGTTAAATTATCTGATATTTTAAGACAATTATTGTATTGATCTTGACATGTCATAGTCATAGACATGGTTTCCTGTTTCTCCATATTGGTCGCATCACATGACAAATGTTTTTCAAATATTATTAAGCAGTGAAGAAGCTTTGTTCATATATTTAATATAAAAAAATGAAATATTTCTAATATTTAAAATATGTAAAAAAAAAATAAAAAAATTAATAATAATAATAATAATAATAATAAAAGGTTATTTAATTTCATTCTTTTAATGAAGCTTTTTATCTTCATTACAATAGCATGCCCTCAAAATGAATTTTAATTCATAAATGCAAAAACATGTTCGTCATAGAAGAGGTGTGTTTAAATTAATGTACTGCTTTTTTAGTGTGTTTTTTTTTATTTAATTAATAGCAAAAGGAAAAAATGAGCATCACGCCACAGCTCTCAGAAGTAATTAATAAAATGAGCTTTATCTGGACTTTGGTAGTGTTTACATAGAGGGAAGGCAGGAAGAATCTTTGAGGAGAGAAGGAACGACTGGCTGTCTCTTATAGAAGCGTGTAAAGGGCGTTCCTGTATTGATTGAACAGGACATTATGGAGACGAGCTCTCTCTTGGGTCTGATCACTGTCTGTTTGTGTCTTTCTTTGCAATTCTGATTTATCATTATGGCCGCCTGGCACCTCTCATGCACACTCGAGACCAGCCTCAAATATGCAAGTGATCAGAGTTTGGCCTGGTTTTTAACCTTAAGTGCGATGAATATTGTTTGGTTTGGTGGACGTAGTTTTATTGCCACCCTCCCGGCCAACCTAATCTAGAGAGTAAAATATGTGTTCATTGGCCTGCATTAGTGTCCCCCGTATTGGCAGTTTGATGTGGCTTGGTGTGATGATGTTATCGCTGTACAAATGTGACCCTGGACACCGGTTCATACCGAATACCACTGTTTATTTTTGTTATGATATGAATTTTTAAAATACTGCAATACCGGTGTATGTCGCTTAAACAACGTTCGGAACGCGACACTGTTTGAAAGGGGTCCCTTTTCACTGTTGCACTGTGGTGAGGGAACAGCTGTATGTGTTACTAAGCGTGAAAGTTCCTAAACTGAAGCTATAGAACTAATAGAATGTGGTGACGCAGAAGAACTCATCCACAATATCCACACTGACCGCCACAAATATCCACCGCCCCCTGCCATCAGCTCCCGCGTCTCACACACACGAGCGCGACTTTAGCACTAGATTTAGCAACTTTCAGACCCTTTTAGCGGCTTTTTC